TTTTATTCAACACCCCCCAACTGTACCCGAGGCATGTACCACCCCCCCTAGATTGTTCCAGCATCCCCAGGAGGCAGTATCATCCATTTGGGGAAGCTCTATTTTCCAACTGATTTCTTGAAGTCAGTCAACAAGCATTTTTGAAGTGCTAGATGATCTTTGAGCTGAAGAACCAAATACTGACTTGGTTAGGAGGATGTAATGGAGGTCTACATGGAATTTCTATATTTCCTCAACCTCTAGAGCAGGTACTGATACATAAGCTGCTAATATTTTTGTTCTGGTCCTTTTACCCTGCTTATCACAAGCACTGTAGTGTTAGATAATGAAGTATCTCATGACATCATTTCCCTTTGCAAGAAGATTTGACCCCTCTTTACATTTAGTTACAATTTCCTCACATCTTCTAGTTTCATTTGCAGTGAGAATGTCAAGATCGATATGGTTCAATTCCTCTCCAACTTGTTGGTCATTGAACAATTATTTTACATTTAGAGTAGAGAATTTAGAGATTGGACCTTTGATTTCATTGCAGTAGGAAACTCCCAGATGAAGAGACTCCCACTAGAAATGAAGGTCAGCATCTCCTCTTAGCACCTAGAGTGTGAACAGTTAAGTGACTTGCCCAGTGTCACACAGCTAGGATATGTCAGAGGTACCCAGGTATTGTGACTTCAAAACCAGCTCTCTATCCACCACTCTGCCTCTCATTTAGAGTACCAACAATTAAATTACATTTGATTGATACTCACACCTTCTTAGGGAGTGTAGCAAGAGATTTCTCCTTTCCCTCCAACCCAGGAATAACTAGTGGTAGATTCCAGAGCCTAAGCACTCATCTACTAGAGGATGCTTCCTCAAAAGGATATTTCTTGGAGAAGGAGAAGAAGCATCAGTTTGGCCCCAAAACTGAAGGACTAAAGACATCTCATGGTGAGGAAGGAGAGGGGAGATATGAACGTGTCACTTTTTCACCTCCAACTATTAATATAAGATACTCAGACAGCATGGGTCTGATGGGAGGAATTGATTGTTCAGTAGCCCTCAAAGTATGTTCCATGGGGAATCTAAACCATGGTATTATGACTCTTTGAGAGGATGATGTAGGACTCTAGGAAAAAAGGGGCTATCAAAAAGTTGTCTTGATAACAATCCAAAATTCAGTTCCCTTCCAGGCAGAGCTGATGGGCTGTGTTAGTATTTTGTATGTTTTCTTCTGGCTCTTGTGATCACTATATGCCTTCTGAATTTTTAACAGGATAAAATCAGAACTGTTTCATGCCTGAATTGCATTTTTTTTAACCATGCAAAGTAATCCTGGAGTGTTTTAAGAGGGAGATAAAACCCTATGAACCACATTTGGAGAACTGAGGCATGACTTCACACCATTACCACTCAGGAGATTTTCCTGAACTAACTCCAGGTGGGGACAAAGGGCCAAAGAGAGAAAATGATCCTAATGAGATCACCTTGTCACCAACATCAGACCTCGCCAATGTACATGCAACGTTTTGACAGCCCAGGGTTCCATTACAGAGAAAAAATGGTGTTTTTTTTTACCTAAGGAGAGGGTAACTGAATCACAGGGATTAGAGGATCAGGAGTTGGAAATTTGTTAGCCACAGGACAAGAAATTATTACATATGGAGAAGCAAGCTTAGAAACTAAACGTGCCGGGCAGTTCTAATTGGAATTCTAATACTCAGTTGCCTTAGGTGATGGGATCTGCCAGTGGAAACTCACCAGTAGTCCAATTCTTTGTCCACTGTATAAGCCAAGACACCGCAATGGTGTTAGAAGTGGTTGCCAAGCACCAGCCAGCCTTCAGCACAGTTTGTGAGATGGCTCAGTGATAGATGAAGTAGATAGCATCTTTCCTTCCTCCCCCTTTGAGAACTGCTTGTTTGCTTGCTTGCTTGCTCCCAGATTTCTCTGGGATTTTTCTCTGCAGCTTTCATGCTTACTTTACTCACACACAGGCTTATGGTAAAGATGTTGGAAGTCAAGAGTCTGCACTTCCGGGTTTAGGAGCCACTGTCCCATGAAGAACAGCAATCTCGTGTGATATGTGAAGAAAAATCATGGGATTTAATTTGTAAATTTTGGATACAACACTTTCAGGATCACATCTTTTGTGGAAAGCAAGGGATGCTTACAATTTGTGCTTTATTATTTCATCCAAATCAAAAGACCCTCATTAAATACTTACTTAGCAACCCCAAATTCAGTAACCTTCCTGGCTAAGCTGTGTGTATGGGAACTTATACTAATAGGTTACAGTCACACTGAATTGAATTGAGGGATATGAGGAATATACATTTGAAAGGAGGTATGAACTATAGGAAAAGTTCTGGATTTGGAGGTAAAGACTTGAGTTCAGATCCCAGTTTTACTGCTTGCATACTGGGTGACCTTAGGCAAGTCACTTCATTTATCAAGGGTCAGTTTCCTCAACTACAAGATTAAGGGGTTGGACTATAGGACCTTTAAAGTCCCTTCCAGCTCCAAACCTATGAACTGATCCTATGACATATACACAAATGTTGTTGTTCAGTGGTTTGCAGTCACATCCAACTCTTCGTGACCCTACTTAGGCTTTTTTTTTGGCCAAGGATACTGGAGTGGTTTGCCATTTCCTTCTCCAGCTCATTTTACAGATGAGGAAACTGAGGCAGACAGGGTTAAGTGACTTGCCCAGGGTCAAACAGCTAGGAAGTGTCTGATGCCAGATTTGAACTCACCAAGATGAGTCTTCCTGAGCCCAAGCCTGGCACTCTATCCACTGTGCCACCTAGCTGCCTATGCACAATGACTATAATGCAAAGCAGAATATAACAAATGCATGAGAAGTGTAAACAAAGCATTTTTTTTATATCCCAAGGGAAAAAATTCATTACAAACTAGAGGATCAATGAAGGCTTCCATCAGTCACGGGGTTTTAAAAAGTTGGGAGGATTCAGAGGACACAGGGGTCTGGAAGGAAGGGCAGTGTAAACAAAGTAGAGAAATACAGGTATGTCTAGAGAGTGGAGAACAGTGCAATTTGGATGGATCATGGAGAACATAATGAAGTTCCCCAGCACAATATAAGCTCCTTGAAAGCAAAGATTGTTAGATTTTTGTCTTTGTATCCCTGGTGCCTAGCACTGTGCCTTTTGCAAAGGAAGAACTTAATGAGCGCGAATATATTCACTTAAATACAAGGCAAGGAGTAGTGAGGTAAGTTGTAAAAGGTAGAATGGTGCCTGATGGTGACATTCTTTATACCCTCCCATTCCTCCTCTCTACAAATGTAAATTCCTTGAGAACAAGGACAGTTTTTTATTTTATCTTTTGGATCTCCACTACCTAGCACACTGCCTAGTACATAGAAGTAATTATTAAGCTTTAATAGTTAGCAAAATGAATGGAGCAGCAGATGTGGAGTCAAAAAGAACTGAGTTCTGTCAATTCTGGTCACAAATGACTAAAGAGTCACAGAGATTTTGCAACCCCTTTTAACTCCAAAAATACCAAAGAGCTCACACAGGTTATAAGCCAAAAGCTTTCTGTATTCCATTGGGGGAGGGAACGTGTCGGGGCCTCCTCTAGTAAGAGACCCAAGGCAGTAGGGAGAAACCTTGATTTATATATATTTGTGGCTAGACAAAGAATCAAACAGTGTAGTGGAGCAACGGTGGCCAGGCACCACAGCAACAGTGAGGCAAGGTTGCCTAGTGACAAAAAGCCCATTCGTAGCAGGGTTTTGTGCCTGGACCTGTTGGTGCTTGCCTGACTTTGGGGACCATCAGTTCTGTGATATAGTTGCAGCAAAGTTCATCCAGAGGATAAGAGCAAAAAATAGTTATGCCAAGCTCAGGGCACAGCTTGCTTGCTGGGCCTTAAACTCTGGAAAACTGGGTGTCTCCTAATAGAGGAGTAAAAAAAAAACAATAGAGAGAGAGGGGTGGTCTTGGATCCTGATAGTTCAAATCTTGCCTCAGACAATTACTAGCTTGTATGATCCTGAGCAAGCTACTTACAGTCATTCTGCCTCAGTTTCCTCATTTGCAAAATGGTGGTAACAACAGCACCTCCCCCACAGGGTTGTTATATGATCAAATGAGATACATATGTAAAGTATTTTGAAAATCTTAAAGCTCTCTATAAATATCAGTTGTTATTATTATTATTATTATTATTATTATTATTATTATTATTATTATTATTATTATTAATTGCAGCAAGAGCCTTGACTGAAAAAGAAAGGAGTCATAAAAACTTATTCTTCATAGCATGGGTGAATTTTGGAGACCCTGGTTTTAAAACTTTTTTTAAGGAATAAATTTCAGTTCTTGAAACCAGCTACCAACATTAATCAAGAAATGTTAATATGAATCAATCATAGGACATAGAGGAAGTACTTTCTATTACTTTTCCAGAACATACAAAAAAAGCCAATATTCAAAATGAAGCAATCCCATGAAAGGTAGCATCTGGTCATTTTGTATGAGCAAAGTTGAGACCAAGATATATAACTGTGATGGATGGATGGATAGATAGATAGATAGATAGATAGATAGATAGATAGATAGATAGGTAAAAAGATGGATAGATTTTTCTCCCCTTCTTCTGGGAAAAAAAATACTTCCTGAGTTAGGGGGGAAAAAATTATTTCCTGAGAAATGACTTTGTAAGGGTGGGGCCTGATTGATTACCCTATTCAATTAAAAGTGATTACTTTTGTTAGGTAAGAATGCTTCTTGATGGTATCAGTTAATCAAAGCTGACAGTGAAAAGGACCAGTGTACCTCCTTGAATCAATCAAAGCTATTTTGTGAGAGAATTGGTTATGCCCCAATGAATTTGCCTGAAAGGAAGGAACTTTATAAGAACCAGGGAGAGATTCTGGTGAACTATGTCAATGGAGGCTGGATTAAACATTGTGGCCCAGCACAGCCCTGAGGAACATAGGTAAGACTGAGTTGTGGCATAGGTGGGAGAGATCAAGGAAGGTTACCTGTTCCATATTTTCGAGCAGAAAACCCATGCTGGGAAAATCTCAAGGGAAGTCATCTTCTTCCCCAACTTCTTCCAATGCCTGTCTATCTACAGACACAAATATAATTTGTTTTGTTACTCAGTGTTTCCAGTAAACTGAATTTTTCCTCAACCCCTAAGAGTCTAGAGGCTAACTAGAGGTGGATATAAATAAAGTTAGACAGCAAGCCCAGTCTCTGCTTAAAATTTAGGAATTTTCCTAACTAGGGGCACAGAGAAATTGTGATAGAACTCATAACGGTCCATCTAAAATAAATTCCCTAAAGCTGAAGAGGAGGGAAGCAGACGGACCCTAGGGGCCATTATATTGCCCCTCTGCTTAAAATGAGCTAGTTATTGTAACAGGGTGGTGTTACATTGAAAGTATAATAAAGGAGAGTAAGCGAACATGATTTGCTCCACTTATTTCCAAGAAGACAGATCCTTAGTGAATAAAAAAGATTTCTCAAAGATTAGCAATCCTTACACAACACACACACAGAAGACACAGCCGTGGAAAGTTTTTTGGATGTGGGGAGTGACCAATTAGAGCTGAGTTAACATCTGTAACTACAGAACTGAATAAAGGATCATACATTCTCTCTAATTCAAAAATGATTCACTGAAAGAATTTTATGCTTTAATTACTAGCTATTGTCTATCTCAAATGGAAAAAAAAAACCAAACCTGAATTTGATTCAAACTCACACTGATAATTCTGTATCCAAAGGGCAATGTCTGCAACACATGGGCCCATTATTATCTAAAAGGAAGAAAAATTAATAAATCACTCTTCTGGAACAATATGTCTAATTTTATATGGAATGTACTTTAAATGAATGGAAGAAAACATAGGAAGCTCTTAGAAAACTAATTTTTTTTTATGAGACAACAGAATAAGACCAAAAAAATCAGCTCTGGCAATTTTTCATCAGCTTTTACATTGTTCAGTAGGCCACCCTGCCATCTATTGCATTTGAAAAAAATCATCATTATAAAGTAGAGCTTAAATGTAAAATTTCTTTTCCACCCAGAGAACAACAAATACTCAAGGCAAATACTATTTTGATAAAAAAAAAAGGCACCAGCATAAGGTAAGAGGCTTATTCAGCCTTAACCTTTAATTATCCAAACAGCAGTGGGGATAATAAAGATACAAATGCACAAACACACACACAACAAATAAATATATGTATATACACACATAGGTACATGTATACATACACACATGTGTACTTGTAGCAGTACTTCTATCTATGAAAGAATTGAGGAGATCACTTGAAGCAACAGGGGTTGACACAGGCAACCACAGTTGTTAATTATACTTTCATCTATATTGTAAGTGGAGAAGGTACAGTTTGACCTCTAGGCCTCTTCCTATAAGCCCTATTCTTGTTCCACTGAACTAGCCCTGGTATACGTTTATGAATCTGTGGATCTGTGGCTTCACTAACTCAAGGAATTCCTTCTACCAACCACATGGACAACCAGACTAAGACTTGGTAGTTAAGTCCTGACAAGTTCACCGAGGCACATAGAGGTGAAGTGATTTTTGTGGAGTCATCCACACTACTAAAGTGTGCTGGAGGTGGCACCTATGAGCTTGGCTCAAAAGCTGATTGTTAAATTTTCAGTATGAGCATTTACATCTCAGAAGTCAGTAAGTGCTACAAATCATAGTTGTTTTGTTGATAGTTTTGACTTAAGCAATAGGGAGAAGTTAATAATGCAGATTAAATTTAAATTGTCTCAATTTAAGAAAGTAGTGGGAAAATATTCATAATGCAGGTTCATGATGCATAAAACTTAAAAGTGTATCCTGCATTTTCAGAGAGCTGCTCATGAAATATTTAACTGTACACCCTCGGGCATCTGCCTAGTAAATATCAAAAGCAGGGTTTAAGCCCACATCATCCTGTCACTACACACTCTATCCACTGAGCCTTCCTCTGACAGTCTCTCTGTTCCTATTCCTTGTCTCTTTGCCTTACATTTCTTTAAAAGAAATTTTGTTTTTCAAAATGCACCAAAATACATGTGTCCAATATGAGATGCAGTGTATCTAGGAATGATTGAATGGAAGAGTTTTCCCTGACTGTTCTGTTGGTACTCCTCTTGCTAAGAGTCTCCAACTCCATATGCAAAATTTACAAAATTGTTTTAGGAGTAGAAAAGAGAGGGACTAGGGGAGGAAGGAAATTCCCCTAATTCAGCTCCTGAGTGAAGTCAGCTCATTGCACTTTTTTACATAACTCCAAAACATACTTATTTACATATGTATGAAAAGATTTCTTTTCCATTCCATTCAGAATAATTGAACTCTTTACTTAGTACGCATGGTGCAGCAGAAAAACATTAGGGCAAAGTGAAATCTCTGCCCTTCTTGCTGATGTAAGTTTTCTTCCTCTTATTGTGGAAAGGATGTATGGATGAATGAAGCAGTGTATGTTAACAAAGGCAAATGAGGAGAGAATAGAAATGAGCAAGAATTGAGAGATCACTTAAAGCAACAGGGATTGACATAGTCAACCAGAGGTGTTCATCATACCTTCATCTTTTTCTTTAAATATACCAGATGACAAAACTTCTACACTGTAGAGCCTGAGGTCTTGGGGCAATTAATTTTTAAGAGTATGTTGACCTTGAAGGACTATTCATCCAGGGTTGATTTGGGGAAATCAATTTGTAGATGCTGCCCTGTGCACTTGGGAGCACATATAATGAGGGATTATAGATCGTTCAAAAGTCGAAAGTCCCCAAGATATTGGAGTTTAGAAAGTTCTAAACAAGGGGCTTTATATACCACAAGACTTTGCCCACTGAGGGGGCTCACCTGCACCTCAAATCAAGGTGAAGTCAATGGGATTGTACCCAGCTTCAGTGTACAGCGGAAGGACTCTGGAAGAGAGGGAGGCTGAAGACTTTGCACAATTCTGCATCACTTAAATCCAATTCCATGCAAGTCAAGACATCACCCCAAGATGTCACTGGTCCTCTTAGAAAATAAAAGACCAGCAACAACAAAGAAACAGCTAAAACCATGACACTGCATAGGAAGAAGGTCATACAAACTTCAAACAGCTATTCCTCAAAGAGTTACCCGAAATGTTAGCGATACCAGAGCTTATGTGCAGAATAGCTGCACCCTGAAAGCAGGGATTGTTTTTTGCCTTTCTTTGTTTTCCTAGTGCTCAGCACGTTACCTGGCACATTTTGTTGTATCCTCCTCTTTGTGACCCCACTTGGGGTTTTCTTGGCAAAGATACTGGATAGGTTTGCCATTTCTTCTCCAGCGCATTTTACAGTTGAGAAAACTGAGGCAAATAGGGTTATGTGATTTGCCAGGGGTCACACAGCTAGTAAGTGCCGGAGGCTGTATTTAAACTCGGGAAGATGAGTCTTCCTGATACCAGGCCCAGCACTCTATCCACTATACCACCTAGTTCAAATGGATATAATGAGAAAAGGATTTATTCAGTGCCTACTATGTTCTGGGACCTGTGCTAAATGCTTTACAAATATTATAAGCATCCCAATGTCTCTTGATCCTTTAAAGTTTAAAAGCACTTTACATACAATATTTCATTTGATTTAACAATCTTAGGTGTTATATCTATTGTAGAGTTATGGAAAATGAGGTTTGGAGAGTTTTTTAAGTGACTCACCCAAGGTCATGCAGTTAATAAGTATTGGGGTAGAATTCGAACATGGTTGTTCCTGACTTCAAGTTCATTGCTCTGTCCCCTTTACCACTGTAGAACCTGGGGGCATGACTAATGCATGGGCAAGTCCCCAGAGAAAGCATCAAAGATTCAATGTACTCTGTTGATCTCCTTACACTTAAACCATAGTTCTGAGCCTCCATTGTGTTTATTTTTGATAGAGGGCATAACTAGATAAAAGCAAAGGCATTTAATGAAATGGCATGGTAAAAAAAAACAGTAACAACAAAAAATTTCCCCCACAAACCCAAGATATCTTCTTTCATGAACAGACACACCATCAGTGGAAAGAGTGGACACACACAGAGAATATGCACAGAGACGCATGCATGTGGAAAGTATATATGGCTGGGGCACATGGACATGCGGGCAACTCACATTTACAAGGTGGTAGGCTGTTGATGTATTTTAGACATGGGCTGATCCAGGCTCATTGGGCCTGGCACTTGCTGTGGTTTACTAGATGCAAAATCTCCACTGGGTGATGCTCTGCTAGACATGTAGTCTCTGCCAGGTATTACCCCATTGGGTACATAACTGTGGAGCTTTTTTTGGCTTCCACATGCTGGCTTCAGCTGACATCTTTAGTTATAGTGCTATCTCTTCTTCGTGAGAAGAGTGGGCTCTTGGGGGCAGCTACGTGGCACAGTGAATAGAGCTCTGGCCTTGGAGTCAAGAGGACCTGAGTTCAAATCCAGCCTCAGACACTTAACACTTACTAGCTGTGTGACCTTGGGCAAGTCACGTAACCCTGATTGCCCCTTAAAAAAAAAGAAAAAGAGAAGAATGGGCTTTTCCATGCTCTACTAAGTTCAAGAGCCAAAGGCTTTTTGTATGACTCACTTAGAAAAGCAACCATCCTTGCCTCAGGCATAAGATCTTAGGGGCTGTTGGGGTTGGTGGGGAGTGAAAAAACCTTCTCAGCTTTTTTTTTTCTTTCTAAACTCCAATAGTTATATCTTCTCTGTTCCTTTCAAGAATTGAGAGTTCCTTTCATCTCCATTGGGGGATTTTTTTTTTGTTCTTTGTGCCACGCTCTCCATAAACTGCAAAGTGAAATTCTCCCAAGTAACCTGAGCTTTGGAATCTATGTTCTCTAGAGACAATCTTGCTCTAGCTTAGACAGCTTGCTGTATACTGCCAGTTTTAACCTCACACATTTTCTCAGATCTCTGCCTAGGCATAATCTTGTCTTTTCATATGCATGTATGAGCTGCATCCACTCCCTTATCACCAGCTGATCACTAGACCTTCCAGATGTCCAGTGTTCTGGGGCCTGATTTGAAGTCAGGTCCTCAGGCAGCTAGGTGGCACAGTAAATAGAGCACCGGCCCTGGATTCAGGAGGACCTGAATCAAATCTGGCCTCAGACACATAACACTTACTAGCTATGTGACCCGGGACAAGTCACTTAACCCCCATTGCCCAACCAAAAAAAAAAAAAAAGAATGAAGTCAGGTCCTCCTGACTTCTGTTCTAGTGCTTTATCTAGTGAGCCACCTGAATGCCTCATATTCATAGTCCCTCATTAGATTCTCTGGAGTTTATTGAGTAGAGAAGTAATATGTTCACTGGACCAGGTAACTGGACCAGTTCCAAATGTCCTGAAGGCATCTCAAACTCATCAAATCTACAACAAAACTCATTATCTTTTCCCCAAGACCCATCCCTCTTTTGAACTTCCCTATTTCTATGGGAGGTGAAGAGGGGGAATGTTGAGGGTGTTGAGGGAGGACTAGCACCTCTGGTGTAGGGGCTTGCCAAGCCCTTTTCAGGGCTGCTCATCCTTTGATGTCCACCTGCCACTCAACTCAGCTGCAGCTCCAAGAAGCTGTAGAAGGTGTAATAGTCCAACCCCAGGTAAAACCATCTTGTCAGAAGGGCTAAACCAAGCTGAGAATAACCAATAGCCCTCAAACCTGTCAGTGGGTTGGGGGGATGTCTACCCTAAGCATGTGAAGACCTCCCCTGGAGTAATGGGCAGATGAAAACAATTTGTTCCAATGACCATGAAGGCAGCTGAAGCAGATTCTGTGGCACACTTAGAGCTTGGTCAGACATCAAAGACACCAAGGTCACTCACTGTATCCCATGCTATTACCAGTTGTCCTTTTTTCTCTAAAAGAGAGAGTAAGGCTGATGACTTTGTGCAGTTCTGCCTCACTTAAACCCAATTCACTGGCAAGTCAAGACATCACCCTAGGATGTCACTAGCCCTCTTCAAAAACAAAGGACAAAAAAAAAGTTTCTCTCATGGCCATCACCATCCCTGCAGTCTCCCAATATTACAACCTTAGCATTATCTTCAGTTTCTTTCTCTTGCTCACCTCACGTATCTAATCAGTTGCTAAACATAATTTCTATCTCCATAACATTTCTTATATCTGTCCCCTTCTCACTACTCACACAGCCATCGTCTTATCACCTCTACTCACCTGGACTATTGCAGAGTCCACTGGACTCCCTTCAACTGTCTTCCCATTCATATTTATCTTCTACACAGGAACCAAAGTGATATTACTTAAGTACATGTTTAACCCTATCACTTCTCTACTCAATAAAGTTCGGAGAATCTAATGAGGCAATATGAATATGAAGCATTCAGGTGGCTTAAAGAAACCCTCAGTTTCCTCAGTTGTGAAATGAGGATAATAATAACATCTGCCTCTCAGTTGTTGTGAGGACCAAATAAGATAACATTTGTAAAGTGCCTAACACGGTGCCTGACACATAATATGTGCTATATAAAAGGGAACAGGGATTGTTTCCCTTTGTTTTGGTACCCACAGAACCTAGCCCAGTGACTGGCTCATATTGGGTACTTAATAAGTGCTTGCCATTTGGGTAATTGATTGATCAGTATATAACCAGATCAATATATAACCAATCAACTGATTGATCAATATATAATTAAAGCTTAAGAAGTTTTGAGCTCACCTTTATGATACGCTGATTCTCTGACAGAAAAGAGTGAGGGAATAAGCATTTTATATAGTGCCAGGCACTGTGCTAAGCACTTTTAACAAATCCTATTTCATTTGATCCTCAAAACAATCCTAGAAGTTAGATACTGTTATTATTGTGCTATCGCTATAATTTTTAACTCTGGTAAAATATGAAGTCCCCTATTTAGCTTTCAAAGTTCCTCACAATCTGGCCCCAACTTACCTTCTAGTATACATTTCTTCCCTTCCTGTGATCTATAGTCCAGATAAACTAGCCATATGGATGTTTCTCACACACCTCATTCCATATCTTGTCTCTGGGCTTTAGCACTGGCCATTCTCCTGTATACTGTCTCATCCTCACTTCTGAAAATCCCTAACTTTCTTCAGTATTCAGATCAGGCACTACCTTCTCCATTGTCTTTTCTGACCAACACTCCCCCACCCAAAAAAAAATGTTTTTTAATTAAAAACAAACCCTGCTACTTGCCTCTGTTCTCTATCTCTCCCTTCCCTCCCTCCCTGCCATTGCTTTCTCCAAAACAGTTGCCCCCCCGCCACGGACTTATCAGACAAGTAAGAAAAAAGTCTCAAATGTCTCTCTTTTGGAGTACAATTTCTGCCATGCCAAGCAAAAGTTAAACCCCAAGAGTTCTTGTCTGTTGCCACTGTTCCCCCTGTAACGCATCACAGTTCTCCCACCAAGATGCCCCTTCTCTAGGCACTCTTCCCTTTTCTTTCAGAGAAGCAATATGTTGTAAAAGGATTATTGGGTTTCTCCTTCAATTTTATTTTCCTCATTCTTTGAATCCAATTTACTTCTCTCTCTTTAATTATAAATGACAGGCTTCAGGTGGGAAGTCAGTCTCAGTAGGCTGGGAATTTTCATACAGAGATTTGCCCAGATTTCCTGGGTGGGATATATGAGCCAAGAAAAAAATTTCCTCATGATACCCAGAACCTTTGTATTATGAGCACTTCTGACAGCAATGTTACATTCCTGTAGTTATAATAAAAATTATATTATCTAAGCATGTCATGTGTGCCCACTAAATGCAATGACACACTTTACTGGATTACTGTGTACATTATACATAATTTGCAGTAATGTCATTAGGTTGGGTAAGCAAGGGAGGAAACCTTGATGACAGATGGAGTAACAAATGTAACATGAGTAGATTAGCAAAAATAACCTTGCATAACATTATTAGTTTAGAACATATTGCACCATGGCTTTCCATTATAGTCTTTCTGAGGAATAACAGCTACTGGTGTCAAAAGAATGATGCCGACAATGAGGTCAATAATCTTTTTAGGTTCCTCATACAGCTGTGAATACAAATGATCAGTAATTGTGAAATCTACTCCCTTGTCTCCACTCACAGGGCTACCACCCTTATTTGAATCCTCACCACCTCTTTACCTAGACTATCGCAGTATTTTCCAGCTTTCTCCTCTCCAACTCATCCTCCAAACAGCTGCCAAAATGACATTTCTAAAGCATAGCTTTGGTCTAACTGTGACCAAACTGGCTTACTCACTACTCCCTACACACAGCATTCCAGCTCTTTCCTAGGAGCCTTTACAAGTCTTTCCACCATGCTTAGAATGTTCTTTCCTCTTCACCTCAACCTCTCACAACCAGAGGCTACCTCCACTCGCCTCAAGGGCCATCTCCTTCAAGAAACATTTTCCAGATCACTCAAATTGTTAGGGCTCTCCCTCCCAATCACGTTGAATATCTGTTGTATTTATTTATATTTCATGTTGCATCCCTCAGTAGAATGTAAGCTCTTTGAGGGCAGGACCTGTCTCACTTTTATATTTATACTCCCTTAACCAAGCATAGCCCTTATTAAAGGCTTGTTGATTCATTAACTGACTGATGGTGAATATCTGGCTGCATAATTGCTCAAGCTTGGGCTTCTGTTAGATATTCTAAGCCTTAGCACACAGAATAACATTTTCATTTGAATGCCAACATTATTTATGTTAATAGCATTAAGAATTCAGAGTTTTCAAGTGATTGAAGTTTTTTAAGTAATAAGATTAAATCATAAAAAAAGTTTGAAATTCACTTTGCTTTCCAGTTGAAAAATTACATTTTAAGAATTATTCTTAGGCTGGGCTATGGGGTGATGCAAAGCTTTATTGATTTTTATGTGAACCGACATGAAATATTTAATCTCAGTCTCAGTCTCAGGCTCCATCATTCATTTCAGAGCCCAGCTACATTCCAAGACATCAGTCACCATTAAAAAAAAAAAGAGAGCTTACCTTACCATTGGTTATGACTTTAATCATTTTTGATATACCCCAAAACATGTGGGCATTCTTTTTGTTATCCAGTCATTTTCAGTTGTGTCCAACTCTCTATGACTCTGGGGTTTTCTTGGCAAAGATACTGAAGTGGTTTGCCATTTCCTTCTCTAATTCATTTTACAGATGAGGAAACTGAGGCAAATGGGGTTAAGTGATTTGACCAGGGTCACACAGCAAGTAAATGTCTAAGGACAGATTTATACTCAAGAAGACGAATCTTTCCTGACTCCAGGCCTGTCACTCTATCCACTACACCACCTAGCTGCCCCTCTGTGGTCATACCTTTCCCTAATTCTGATTACCTGTAGGAACTCACTTCCCCCTGTGATACAGAGTTGATGAAGATACACTTTCTACTTGCTGGGATCTAGGGATTCTAGAGACACTACCCTCTTCTCAACCACACACTATGATATGATCTAGGGTAAATTAACTTTTAAAAAGTTCCAGAGTATTTCCATGCTAGCTAGAGTTTCCCAGTCAGCCTGGACTATCCTACAAATGGTCTCGAAGTACTTATTGACATCAAAACCCACCAATTTATATGCTTATTTTCTGCTTTCTAAAAAATATGTATGACAATAATTTACAAATATACCTAAGGCATCCTGAATGTATATATGAGAAGGGTACAGACAAACTTTCCCAGATGATACTCAACAGCAGAATGCATACCACTGATCAAAAGGTATAGAGAATATAAGATCCTACGGTACTTCTTTGTTGACTATAAAATGCATTTGATTCAGTAAACCATATTGTAACCTTAAAGGCTCTCTTTTAATGAGGTGTTTCTCATGCATATGTAAGAACATGACAGGCTCCTTTTCTGTTGAGTCTAAAATCTTCTGATTATTGATATCAAGCAAGGAATAGAGCAAGGAGATATGTGCTTGCCAAGGCTATTTGCCACTCTTAAGAAGACTGTTTAGGCTACAGTCCAAATTAAAGAAAAATTCCCTATAGGTGGCAAGGGCCTCCAGATGCTTCATTTGCATATGAAATTTTGCTAACTGCAAAAAGACCATTGCATAGCCCCTAAATTAAATCAATAATCACTGCAGAGTTTAGCCTAACTTTCTGTAGAGGTAAAACTAATAGATGAAGAATGTCTATTACCGGGGCAGCTACGTGGCACAGTGGATAAAGCACTGGCTCTGAAGTCAGGAGGACCTGAGTTCAAATCCGGCCTCAAATCAAACACTTGACACTTACTAGCTGTGTGACCCTGGACAAGTCATTTAACCCCAATTGCCTAAAATAAATAAATAAATAAAAAATTAAAAGATGCCCATTATCCTGGAAATTATATGAAGTTAGGTGGACAGTCCACAGATCTAGTTCATAAGCACATCATACAAATAGTGCAGATGGAAAAGAAACTGGCCTAGACTTGACTAGAGGTGGGGAAAGTGGGCTGGATTGCATTTTGGAAATTGCCCAGCACTTACAAACACCTCAGGCTGCTTCCTGAAACCAGATCTTAACTTTATGACACTAATATTCTTCCAGTGGTGTTATATGGTTGCCAATCATGGAATGTGATGATCACTGGGAAATCAAAGTGTGGATCACATAAAGGACAAAGTAGGATGGATAAAGAAACTAAGGAGACTGTAGCATTCCACTGTCAAATAACTGTGCCCAAGAATCAAAGTAAAACACATCATTGAAGAGACATATAACCACAAAAGGTGTGTTGATCATTTAGGGAGAGTTGAGTGCTAACAGAATGATACTCTCCTGCCCCAGTAGCTATCTAGGACAAAGAGATCAGAGGAAAGACCGTACCCGTGTAAGATTTAGGGAAAGACACAGATAAGAACAGCAGAGAATGAGAAAGCAGGGATGGATGAGTTTTCATCTATAACACTGGAGGCTGTGTCCACATTGAAAAGATCCAAAATCCATTGAAATATTGAAGCATGTAATGTACATCTTGAAATTTCCTTCCTGAGATTGTGACAGGAGCAGGGCACATACATGGACAGAGACTAAGGGCAGTCTAAAAAGGAGCCCTCCCACAAGCTTTGGGGCTGGGGCTACAGTAGCCATAACCTGTTTATGTAACCATACAGTAACCATAATCAGAGTACCTGGGGTAGTTGTGTTCCACTTTAACGTGTCAAGCCTTAGTTAACATTTGTACTAAAAGAAATTACATGGCATATCTTTTTAAATATTATATAATCCATCATTTAAATCAGTGACTTTTTCTCATTCCTTCTCTTTCTTGACTTCTCTGGGACATCATAACCTGCTGACAATTCCATCCTTGCTCCCTGGCATTATCCTCATGGGAAAACCTCTTGACACTCAGTATTCCTTTATTGACTCTGATTCATCACTCTACTCCCTATATTGGTTATTCTTCAGAGAATTTTATGCTCATTTTTATTCTTTCCTTCAGAAATAACATCAGTTTGGAGCAGCTAGATGGCACAGTGGATGGAGTACTGGCCCTGGAGTCGCGAGTACATGAGTTCAAATCCAGCCTCAGACACATAACACTCACTAGCTGCCCCAATTACCTCACCAACCCCCCCCTCCCCACACTCCGAAAAAAAGAAAAGAAATAATATCAGTTCTCAGAACTTTAACTCTCTTCCATTGGTAGATGGTTCCCAAAACTACACCTCTAGTCTTGCACTTTCACTTGAATCTCAAATCTTCTTGAATCTCAAAGTCTGCTGCATATTTTCACCTTGGTATCCTTCCATCCCTTCAAACTCATTCTGTCTATAGCAGAACTCATCATTTCCCTCCTAGAAGCTTGCCTTCTAACCTCTATATTAATGTTAATAACTCTGCTAATGACACCTTCATTCTCCCAACCAATATTAATATATATTTTAATAACATGTAATAATAAATATTAACTGAATTAAATTGAATTGATTCCTCCTTTGTAGCATCCAGACATCTAATCATTTGACCAATCATATTAGTTCTCATCCTCATAAATTTTTTTGCATCCCTTCTTTTCTTTTTGAAAAATATTCTTTTTTTACTACTAATTTAGCAATGCCAACAAATATCAACATTTC